CCTGGGGCTCAGGGGGATGGGCCTGGGGCTCAGGAGGCGGGCCTGGGGCTCAGGAGGCGGGCCTGGGGCTCAGGGGGATGGGCCTGGGGCTCAGGGGGGCGGGCCTGGGGCTCAGGAGGCGGGCCTGGGGCTCAGGGGGATGGGCCTGGGGCTCAGGAGGCGGGCCTGGGGGTCAGGGGGATGGGCCTGGGGCTCAGGGGGATGGGCCTGGGGCTCAGGAGGCGGGCCTGGGGCTCAGGGCTTTCAGCGAGAAGGGGGTGGAGTCTGGACTGAATTGTCTCGTCACCTTATCACCTCGCCCAGTCCTACATCTGGGACATCGGAAGTGGCCCAAAGAGGAGTGAGGTAGCAGCGTGTGCAACACCGCAGCCCGTCCCAAAGCGACTGGACAGGCACAGGAGGCTGTGTCCCCCCACCCCCACCCCCAGAGCCTCCACACAATTCCAGCCCCTGGAATTGTCAGGCTGTGCTTGTGAGCTCTTTCTGCCCCCCTAGAAATAGAAGGTTGGGGTCCCCAGGGAGTCCTGGGGATGTAGACAGAGAAGGAGCAGAGTAAGATTTTTGGGAGTCAACTGAAGACATGAGTCTCATGGACTTTCCTGCCTAGGCTGGCTTTAAGGCTTGATCTTCAGATCTCAGCCTCCCGAGTGGCTAGGATTCCAGGTGTGTGTGTGCCACTGGTGCCTGGCACAAAGGAAGGTCTTAATTTTGGGTCTGAGTGTATATGAAGTACCTACAGGAGAAGGAGTCACACAAGAAGCCACCTAAGCGGGAGGCAGAGCTGAGGGCAGGATCCCGGCAGCTACCTGCGGGCCTTGCGGTGGATGCCACGGCACTGCTGGCCTCGACCGGAGAGGCGTGGGTTTGTGGGGCTCCGGAAGGACCACTGGACACTCTGGCTGCCGCAGGGACCCAGGCACTCTGCCCAGGGGGACCAGGAGGACCAGCCACAGTCCACTGAGACAGAGAGAGAGAGGGAGAGGAAGAGAGAGCAGGAGTCAGGGTAGAGTACCCAGCTGGGTGGGGGAAGGGCGGGGCTCCTGAGGGAGGGGCCAGGGAAGAGGGGGCTCACCCGCACAGTCAGGGCTGGGCCTGCAGCGTCTCGGCTGCCCGTGCTGGCAGGTGCACAGCTGGCAATCCCACTTGATCCGCTGCCCAGACCAGTAGCGGGCGCCCCCAACCAGGCAGGGGCAGTCCCGGGGCCGCACGCAGCGCCCCTCACTGCCCCTCACCTGGCCTGCTGGGCACCAGCAGCCTAGGAAAGGCCCAAGGTGAGTCTTCCATGCAGACAAGGCGGCTCCACAGCCCCTGTGCCCAGAGTCCCCCTTACCTGGGCTGCTACACGGCCTGTCAGGAGAGCACGTGGCCTGGCCAGAGATGTCCTCGCAGGTCAAAGGGCAAGGGGCACAGCGCCAGAACACCAGCCCCCCAGAGCAGGTGGCATTGGGACAGCCCTCCTGAGGACAGGGCTCTGAGAACAGGCCGGACCCAAGGTCAGAGGTCAGTGTCCCACTGGCAGATGGGCCATTCCTTCCCCGCGCCCCCAGGGTCTGGTGGCAATCCCTCCACCACCCCGACCAGCTGCCTTCCACTCACGGGTCTGGTGGGCGCTGTGGGGGTCCCCAGGCAGCAGGCCGCAGGCCCGGCCCCCGTTCTGGGGCGGGTGGCACTGGCGGTGCCGCAGCATGGTGCCCCCACACGGCTCAGAGCACAGGGACCATGGAGACCAGGAGCTCCATCGGCCGTCCACTGCGAGCACAGGGGCCGTGAGCAGAGCGGGAGGCCCGGGGCCTTCCCCTCCCCTCCTCTCCCCCACCCTGCCCCTCACCTGGGCAGGCCTCGGTGAAGCAGGCCTGAGCCTCCTGCCCGGGCCCCAGGCAGAGCTGCAGGGCTGGGAGGTGGACTGGGGAGCACTGGCGGCTCCGGCTCTGCACCCCAGGCCCACAGGTGTGGCTGCACGGTTCCCACGGGCTCCAGGAACCCCAGGCTCCACAGCCCTGTTCTTCTGGGGAGCGCTCTGCTTCACCCGCCAACTCACAGTCCGCACGCCCGTCACACACCTGCAGAGTCCACAGCTCGGCTCCTGCCCCACGGGTGCACAATGCCCCTGCCGTCCCCGCCCCCGGTCCCCACCCTCACCAGCTGGAAACCAACGCAGGTGCCATTCGGGCATGCATATTCTGGGCACGGGGTCCCGGTCTCGTTGGGGCCTTGTGGGGCTGACAGACTGTCTGGGAAAGAAAGGAGAACACAGCGAGTGAGGACCAGCAACTGCTCCCCTCCGCCCTCCTCTTCCCCCACCAAAGTGTTCATACCACAGCCCAGCTCATCTTCGCCCTGGGGACACTCAGCGATCCCATCACATTGCCGCTGGGGACTCAGGCACAGCCAGGGAGCCGAACGACAGGGGAGGAGCCCTTGGCATGGGGGCAGCTGGGTAGAGCCTGTGGATAGTTGAGAAATGTCTGCAGTGCTCACACCTTGCCGGCTAGGAGAGGAAGGCAGGCATGAGGCACGGGGTCCACTCCTTTTCTAGGGGTTCAGGAGGGAAAGGCCCTGAGTTTGGGGCCTGTGGACCTCCTCTCCAGAGAGGCGGCCAGGGCCTGAGGACTGACTTGCAGGGTTCTGCTCTGATGGGGGGGAGGGTAGGTGAGAAGACTCTGCACACAGACCCCTCTCCACGCCCTCGGAATCGCCCTCCACCCCCTCGTCCAAACGTGAGCAGAGACAACATTTTGCCCCTTCCCCTCTCTCCTGGGCCTGCAGGGAAGCGCAAAAGAAAAATGTTATTTTAAAGCTTCATGAGAGAAGATCAAAGGAGCTCAAGGGTCACTTGGTCTCTGATGTCCTCAGCCCTGGGTCCCTGTCCGAGCGAGCGGCCCAGGGGCCAAGGCGGTGGTGCTCGGGGAGCGACGTGCCGGGCCTGCCCGGCCTGCGGAGCCGCCCAGGGCCGGGGCTGCCACACTCACCGCAGGTGTCTGGGTGCTCGTCCCAGCCGTCGGGGCACTGTGCCAGGCCGTCGCACAGCTGCTCCGGGGACACGCAGTGGGGGCCGTGGGCACAGGGCACGTGGGGCGGAGCACAGGGCCCCCGGCAGCCCAGCTCGTCGCTGCCGTCCTCGCAGTCCTCCTCCTGGTCACACTGCCAGCCCCGTGGGGCACATTCGCCGCTGCCACACCGGAACTCCAAGGGGCCGCAGGGGGGCGCTGCAATGGGCACCTGTGCTGGCTCTGGCAGGAGCAGACAGGCTCATCCCTACATCTCAGGAGACCCTCTCCCCGCCCCAGAAGCCCATGCTCCTGGAGTCCGAGCCCTCTTGAAGTCGGCTGTTGGGGTTTTGTTTTGCTTTGTTTTGTCGGACATGGAGCTCAAACTCAGGGCCTGGGTGCTATCCCTGAGCCTTTTTGCTCAAGGCTAGCACTCTACCACTTTGAGCCACGGCACCACCTTTGGTTTTTAGGTAGTTGATTGGAGATTAGAGTCTCATGAAGTTTTCTGCCTGAGCTAGCTTTGAACCACAATCCTCAGATCTCAGCCTCCAGGGTAGCTAGGATTACAGGCCTGAGCCACCAGTGCCAGGCTTGGGCTGTTGGTTTTCTGAAAGCCTTCTTATCAAAAAATTTCCATTAGATTCCCCCTCAGAAGGAGGCCTTGAATGCCAAGAAATTAAGTTTGGTCCCTGAATCCCTCTCAACTATCGTCAACTCCTGATTGTAGCATCTGCAGCCCCAGAGTGTGGCCGTTCCCTCTGAGACGCTCCCTCCTGTCCTTCCTGGCGGACCCTCAGCCCTTCAGCTTCTGCACCCCCATCTCCTCGAGGAGACTCACCAGGACTGGCGCTGCCCCAGGGACTTGAAGTGGAGGGGCCGGGCACGGTGTCTGCAGGAGGCGTGGGCAGAGAGGGCAGGAGGCAGTGCCCAGGCCCCTCATCCGCTCCATCCGGGCAGTCCCAGACGCCATCACACAACCGGAGGGCGTCTATGCAACCTCCATCAATGCAGGACACCTGCCCCGGGGCGCAGTTTACCCGGCCTGCAGTCAGAGAGAGGAGGTAGTCCCCGGATACTGCCCCTGCTTTCAGTGTAGGGTGCAGGTGCCAACTTGCCAAAGAGGAGCCGGGGGGGAGGGCAGGCTCCGCTAGGATCTGGGCCTGGTGGGAAAGGCACCCTGTGGGCTAGCGTAGGGTCGAGACAGCTCACCCAGACAGGACTCCTCATCCGCAGCGTCTGGACAATCCGCACGACCGTCGCACAGCAGGGCCAGGGGCAGGCAGCGCCCGTCAGCACAGGCCGGGGAGCCGGAGGGGCACGGGCAGCCTTGCTCATCGGTGCCATCTCCACAGTCATCCTGTCCATCGCAGAGCAGGGCCAGGGGCAGGCAGTGGCCGGAGTGGCAGGATATCTGTCCTTCCCCACAGCCTGGCGTGGCGCAGCCTGGCACAAGACAGGAGGGCAGAGGCGGGGTGTTCCAGACCCAGAGGGTTGCAGAGAAGCCCCCGGGCTCAGGAGAATCAGAGCATTCTCCCGTAGCTCCTGGCAACGGAAGCAGCTGCCCGGGAAGCCACCCCCGAGGCGAAGGCACGCACCCTCCTCATCGGAGCCATCGCCACAGTCATCCTGGTTGTCACAAAGCCACTCGCGGGGCACACAGTGGCCACTCTCCTGGCACGGCGCCTCTCCCTCGGCGCAGCTGGGCATCGGCTCTTCACAGGCGGCACCGTCTTCCTCACAGTGCCACTGACTCTCCCGACACGTGCTGAGCACAGGGGCCCGGAGTCAGCCACGAGCTGGGCTGGGCCAGTCGGGGGGGACCCAAGCTGCCCCCCAGGCACCCCCACTTACCAATTCCCGCAGTCCTTGTGCAGCACAGCGCCCGGCGGGAAGAAGCTGTCCCCCCACGCGCAGGGACAGGCGGCCGGCTCCATGCAGGCGCCTCCTGAAGGTACAGCACAGAGAGGAATGTGCACCTGCACCGCCCCGGCCCGCCGCCCCGGCCCTGCGGCCTCGCCCCAGCCTGTGTCCTTGACCCTCCGCCCGCCTGACTACCTACCGTGCAGCAGCGTCCCCTCGGGACAGAAGCAGCCCTCCACACAGGCCACAGCTTGGCAGTGCCATCCAGGCTCTGGATGGAGGTGGTGGCAGGTGGGGGGACACGTGGGACCACAGGCTTCGTACACCTGTCCCCCTTCACACTGCAGGGCTAAGCGGACAGGAGAGAGAGAACCATGGCTCACTGAGGCCTGAGGGCACCAGACCGCAGGGCCACAGCCCCGGGGGGGTTGAGTAACTAAATGGCTGGCGGGACAGGACAGGCACCTTTCAAAAGGTGCACTCACAGCTGGGCGCTGGTGGCTCATGCCTGTCATCCTATCTACTCAGGAGGCTGAGAGCTGAGGATCACGGTTCAAAGCCAGCCTGGGCAGGAAAGTCCGTGAGACTCTGATCTCCAATGAACCACCAGAAAACTGGAAGTGGCGCTGTGGCCCACATGGTAGAGAGCTCACTTTGAGCTGAAGAGCTGAGGGACAGCGCCCAGACCCAGAGTTCAAGCCCCACGACTGACAAAAAAAAAAAATCCAGCAGGCACACTCACGGCAGAGCTCCTGGCTGCGCCAGTGCACATGGCGTCCACGCCGGGCACACTCGTCAGCATAGGTGGCGATGGCCGAGCACAGGCACTCACAGTCACCGCCAGAATCACAGCTGCGAGGGGGAGCGGTGAGCCCAGTGCCCCTCCCTGCCCTGGGTGCGCCCCCGTCCCCACCCTTGGCGGGTCCCCCTCACCTGCAGGCATCGTACACACACCACTCATAGTACTGCTGCGGGGACACCTCGGCGTGACAAGGGGCAAAGAGTGGGTGCAGTATCGCTCCACAGCGGGCCCGGGCCCAGGGCGCTCGCTGGCCGTTCACCTGCGGCGGGAGGCACGTCCTGGACACCACCCCAGCCCTCTGCTCTCGGGAGGGCTCCCACCTCCCTTCTTTCCACCCGTGCTCACGGTGCAGGGGTGCGGTAGGTCTCCTGGCTCTGGGCAGAGGGGGTTGAGGTGCCAGGAATGGGCAGCCAGCTCCGCCATGGGCTCCAGGGCTCCCTGGCGGCTCCGCAGGTCGTTACTGGCATCGCCGTCGAAGTCTCCACACAGCCCGGCCACGCGGCCACGGAAGCGGGGGCTCAGCTGTATCAGTACCCGGGTGCCTAGTGACATCATTAGAAAAGTTACTCCACTAGCAGGGCGCGGGGGCTCACACCTGTCATCCTAGCTACTCAGGAGGCTGAGAGCTGAGGATCACGGTTCAAAGCCAGCCAGGCAGGAACGACCGGGAGACTCATCTCCAATAAACCACCAGAAAACCAGAAGTGGCGCTGTGGCTTACGTGGTAGAGTACTCGCCTTGAGCTAAAGAGCTGAGGGACAGTGCCCAGGCCCAGAGTTCAAGCCCCACAACCAACAACAACAAAAATATTCCACTGGCCCTCAGCCAGAGTAGGGGTTGAGGGAAAGTCCAGAGGCACAACACCATCCTTTGCAGACATCCCCACCCAACAGGAGGTACTGGCTCCTTTGGGGAGAGGGGTAACTTTCAGTATCAAATGAAGAGACCAATATTTGGGGGGGATAAACTAGAAGCCTGCTTCCCTAAGGAAACTTCTTTGGGAGCTGAATCCCAGTGGCTCACGCTTGCAATCCTAACTACTCAGGAGTCTGAACTCTCAGGATCAGAGTTCAAAGCCAGCCCAGACAGGGAAGTCCATGAGACTCTTATCTCTAATTAACCAGCAAAAAGCTGGAAGTGGAGGTGTGGCGCAAGTAGCAGAGCATCAGGTTTGAGGAAAAAAAGCTAAGGGACATCACCCAGATCCCAAGTTCAAGTCTCAGGACTGGCACTAAACAAATAAACTGCTTTTGGGGAGCCAGGAATCTTCTGTCAGACCAGATTCTGGCTGGAAAACAAATATGAGAATACCTCTCTCTCTCACACACACACACACACTCACATACAACACACACATATACCACACGCTCACACACATCACACACACTCATACCACACCCACATATACTACACATACCATACACACTCATTCACACACATACCATTCACATTGGTGCATTCACCACACATATACCCATACACACAAACCACATACACTCATTCACACACATACCTCACACACTCACATACCACACACATACTCATACACCACACACACACACCACACACATATCTCACACACTCATATACCACACACACACAAACCACACACATACCTCACACACTCACATACCACACACATACCTCACACACTCACATACCACACACATACTCATACACCACACACACACACCACACACTATCTCACACACTCATATACCACACACACACAAACCACACACATACCTCACACACTCACATACCACACACATACCTCACACATTCACATACCACACACATACTCATATACCACACACACACAACACACACACACTCATTCACACACATACCTCACACACTCATATACCACACACATACTCATACACCACACACACAAACCACACACTCATTCACACACATACCTCACACACTCACATACCACACACATACTCACACACACAAACCACACACACTCATTCACACACATACCTCACACACTCATATACCACACACATACTCATATACCACACACACACAAACCACACACACTCATTCACACACATACCTCACACACTCATATACCACACACATACTCATACACCACACACACAAACCACACACACTCATTCACACACATACCTCACACACTACCACACACATACTCATATACCACACACACACAAACCACACACACTCATTCACACACATACCTCACACACTCATATACCACACACATACTCATACACCACACATACACCTCACACACTCACATACCACACACATACCTCACACACTCACATACCACACACATACTCATGCACCACACATATAAGACACACCACACACACTAATGCCACACACACTCACATACCACACACACACATACCTCACACATACCTCATACACTCACATACCGCACACATACCCATACACCTCACACACATACAGATACATACCACACATACACACACACACAGAGCTAGCCAGAAGCCCCGGGCAGCCCAGCTGCACAGTACCAAGTCCATACAGAGTTATTTTGGTTTCTCTCAAATTCTCACTAACAGTTACATTTCCAAGATGCCAACTGCTTGTGTTTGGGTGGTAGGATGTTAGGAGATCTATTTTCATTTCTTCTTCCTAAAACTTGGTATTTTCTCAGTGTTTCTTGGGTGAGCTGGTATTGCTTTCATAATGAAGGAAAACAGAACCATAAAAATACAATTTGGAAACTCTGGGTCATTTGTCCTGGCTGAGACCCGGGGAAGGTACTGGGTGTGAGGAGCACTGGGGAGGGCACTAGCGGTCTGGCTGCCACACTGGAAATCTGCCCTGTGGGGGACGTCAGGAGGCGGGCCTGACCTCTGAGCTGGAGCAGGCATTGGCCGGGGTTGGGAAGAGGCCCCGCCTTGCTGGTGCAGTGCATGAGGGCAGCGCTGACCTCCATCCCAGAGCAGGGTGAGGCCCAGGCGCGTGGTCAGCAGCAGGAAGAGGCCGGCGTGGCGCAAGCTCAGCCCTGGGCCTGTGTAGACCTTGGGGAGTCGGACGCTCACCCCATTCACCATCACTGCCCTGCCTGTGGAAGAGGAGAGGAAGTCAGCCCCTGCCTGCAGCCACGGCTCTTCTAGGTTCTTGTGGGGGCACAGTCAGCCTTCCCTCCCAACTTCTCTACCTCCATGACTTTGGGCAAGTCATGAAGCTTCTCTAAGCTTTGATTGCTTGGAGGCTTCCAGAATGATGATTCCCGCCAAGCCCACCACACTGAGGACAACTGGGCTAATGGGGAGCCAGCTCGGAGAATCTGGGCTCCAGCCACACAGCGGTGCCCCTCGCCCACTGGCAATGCCCCCCGCCCCGGCATTGCCACAGCCACCTCTGAGCAGGTGCACGGCAGTGTTCTCCACACGGACAACCAGGGACTTGGTACAGGTGAGGCCACTGGTCCCGCAGGGCAGGTTCTGGGCGGAGACGCTGAAGTGGCCGCTGACCTCTCGCACCAGCAGGTACTCACAGGCCCCCGGGAAGGTGAAGGCCAACCCATCAAACGTCACATAGTGGGGGGCACCCGAGGCCTGGCACCGTCCGCTGCACCGATGACCTGTGCAATGCCACTGCCGACCCTGGCACACGCTGTGGGCAAGGGACAGGGATAGTTATTGAGAACAGAGCTAACTCTGGCACGGGGGGATCCTTGAGGGTCCCTAGGATCCAAGCCAGTCTGGAGACCCCCATCTCAACCTCTTCTAGCACCTGGGTACCTAGTGGCGGGTGGGCAGGCATGATATCTGGGGAATCAAGGGTCCCAAGGTCAGAAGGTCACAGGGATGGGGCATACCAAGTGTTGCAGTCCTCCTGGATGGTGGCATTAGGCGGGTACCACTGCCCACTGTGCCGGCAGGGACAGAGCTCCGGAGGCACACAGCGCTCAGCCTGGGCAGAGGATCGGGACATGGTTTGAGAGCCGCTATGGGGGCGGGCAGCGCACTGATACAGGAAAGGCCTCCTCGTTGCCTCTTGCTGGACTTACCAGTAGCACAGTGCCCGGGGGGCAGACACAGCCGTCCGTGCTGCCAGCTGGGCAGCTCTGGTTGGCACTGGGGCTGTCGCAGGTAAGGAGGCAGGCACCGGGAGCATAGATGAGCTCCTGGGGACAGAAGACTGTCTGCAGTGGGGGGCAGTGGTGAGCTGTGCAATTCCAGAGGCCTCTTTCCTGACAGATGCTGCCCGAGGGTGGGAGACAGGGAGTGAGAGGCAGGCCCAGCAGGCCTCTGGCTCACCCCGGAAGCAGCCATCCTAGGAATCCATATTCCATGAACCCCCAGGCTGATCTGCTCGTATGGAATAGACACCAGATCAACTTTTCCTGCCCAGCTCCCAAGTGCTCCTTCTCAGAGATCTGGCCCTGCCTCCTCAGCCTAAACCTGCCTCTGCTTCTCAGCCACAAGCCGTTGAGGTTACCTGAGCCTCAGTTTCCTCATCTGCCAAGTGGGAACAATTCTTCCATTTCTCACTTCACTGCTTTATCATCAAGAGAGTAAAACTCAATAGAGACAGAACTCGACCGAGCTCTGGGACCCGGCCGGGCTCCATCTTGGAGAGGGTCTATCAGTGTGGCAAGCACAGCCCGCCCACTCCCTCCCCACCCTCCCTCCCCTCCCCACCCTGCCGCCCTCACCAGTGGTTGCAGTCCCTCACGGTGACACTGCCAGGGGCATAGCGGCGGGCTCCAAGCTGGCAGGAGCATAAGTTGGGGGGCACACACTGGCCCTCAGGGTCCCACAGAAGCCCCGGGGGGCAGTTACAGCCTGCCACACAGCCACCCAGCTCCTCACAATCCTCTGGCTCCCCGCAGTGGTGACCGCACGTGGGGCCACACTCCCGATACTCCTGGCCACCAGGACACACGACAGCTGGACACAAGAGACACACACGTGGGCGTGTCTTCTAGGAGAAGAAGCCAGCCAGTTCCCCAAGATCAGAGGTCCCGCCTACTCCCACCCCTTCTAGAAGGAGGCTGGGGGAGGGGAAGGGGAAGGGACTCACGGCACAGAGTCTGGTTCCTCCAACGCAGCCGGGCCCCCTCTTGGGCACAGCGGTGCGCGTAGGCGGACAGCACGGTGCACAGGCATTCCCGGCCAGGGGCGCAGCCCCACACAGCCGCCAGGCAGCGCAGCCGGAACGGCTCCCTGTCTACCAGCCCGTGGCACTCCTGGGCAGAGAGGAAAAGGGTCAGCTCTTCCTCTTGGGTTCCCCGTGGCTGCCTTCCTATGGCTGGCAGCTTGGCCCTGGATCTGGTCCCTTGTGCTCAACAGGTACGGGACAGAACGAGCTGGCTACCTGGAAGGTTGGGCTGTGTAGGATGGCACAGGCCGCCTCCGCTTTTGGGAGGTGCTGCAGGTGGCTGTTGTAAGGAGCGAGCAGGGTACTGTCCACGGAGGGGCAGCTTCCATCACCAGACACTTGGAACTTGCTAGCAAAGGCGGGGATGCTGGTCTCCATGTCCCCAGCGGGCGTCAGGAAGTCATCTTGCTGGGTCCAGGTGAAGGTGCCACACAGCCCCAGCACCTAGGCCAAGGAGGACATGAGGGGGGTTAAATCCATGGCCCCCCACAGCCACACCCCGCCCCTGACCTGCCGCCGCCCAGCACACCCGGTGGGCGTGGCGGGGATGGAGGGTGATGTAGACAGCAGGGCTGGCTACTCCCCAGAGGACCCGAGCTCCAGGCCAGCGTAGCTGCAGGAAGGCGGAGGAGGCGTGGGAGGCCTGGACTCCCCCAGCACCAGACCAGGGCAAGTGGACATCTTGCCCATCCACCAGCACGGCACCTAGATGGAACAGGGGGAATTATGGGGGGGGCGGAGAAGAGGCTACCAGGAGCAAGGACTTGGAAGGGAGCTTGTTTTAGGGTTGGCTGTGGGGGCCGCTGGAGCGCCCCCCCCGAAGTGGGCACCTATACCACTTGAGACCTGCCCATTCCAAAAACATCCTGCTCGCTTGTCATTGCCCATTTTTGCATATCCTTTGCATGGCCTCCATGGCTGGAACGGGGCAGAGCCCCAGCAGCTGTGTCAGGGACCGTGGGCGGGAGGAGCTGGCCTGGCTGCTCCTGCTTTCAGACCCTCAGGAGTGTAGGATGGGTGTTCCCCCCCCCCATGGGGGCAGAAGATGGCTTGGAGAATGTCCTCAGGATGGTGTATCTGCCCCCAGAGAGGTGAGGGCCAGGGTGCTGGCAGTGAGTGACTTGAGCTGCTGGAGTCGGGGGGAAGTGTTGTTGGGCCCCAACGCGTGAAGGAGCATGAGGGGAGGCGTAGAGTCTGTAGGGCAAGGAAAGGGGGACACTAGGCCTGGTCAGCACCCCAAGGAGGAGCGGCTGAGGCTACCTGAGTCCCTGAGCTGGATGTGAGTGTCACCCAGGGAGACAGAGAGGGCGTGGAGGCAGCTCCCAGAGTCACAGGCCCCGTGCTCCAGTACGACCCGCAGCTGGCCTTGCACAGAGTCCTGGGGGGACACAGAGGAAGCAGGGATGGGGCAGACCCTCGGGGCCCCCAAGCCCCTTCAGCCTCACCCAGCACCTTCCAGCCAGCCAGACTGCGAAGTACGAGTTGGTGTATATGATGTGTGTGCAGGCAAGTTTGTATGTGGAGGTGTGTGCATGCAGGTGTGTGCACACATGTGTCTGTGTATGTAAGCCTTAGTGTGCATGTGGGCAGGGGCTGTAGAATTTGGGCAGTGCTCCAACTTTGTGGGAAGGCTGATGTGGCGGGGGGGGGGAGGGGGCTTCTCTCCCCAGGGCTGTGTTGTGGACATGGCCTGAGACTGTGAGGTGGGTTTAGTTCTAGGCTGCCACCTCTGCAGGGGTGGAGCCGGCAGAGATGCCACAGGTGTGGCACGCTCTCTCACTGGGCTTCCCTGCAGGACTCTGTGTCCTCAGTTATTGGCCTTCCCTGTGCTATCCCGGGATCCTGGTGAGGCCACACCCCCTTCTCAGTTTACCCTCTGCCCACCTGCACTAGGCTGTAGCGGCAGCCTGGGCCACCGCGGAAGGAGAAGCTCCTCCCATCGAAGGTGAAGTAATGTCCATCACCACCTACGGCACACTCGGCAGGGCACAGAGCCTGGGTACAGTGCCAGCGGCCCTCCTGGCAGACACTGTGGACACATGGGAAGGGACAGTGTGTTGTGACATCTGCCCTTACACTGGAGCCAAAGGTTGAGTGGGGTGAGAATGGGAGAATGATCCTGCACCCCCTGGTTCTCCTCCCCCACACCCCTCCCTTCCCTGAAGGGGTGAGAGGCCAGCTGGCCAGGTATTTAAACGGGGCTATTAATCATACCAAGAGAGGTCATAGGCCACACACAGGTCAGTGTGAAGGGGGCCTTGGAGTAAGATGCCAATTTGGGGGGTGCAGGTTCGGAGACAGAATAGGGTCGGGGTCAGGGGAAGCCGGTTGGCTTTGACCCCCCAGCAAGCCAGAGGACCCACCATGGGTTGCAGAGCTGGTGTACGACGTCCCCGGGGGCGTAGCGCTGGCGCCGGTGGTAGCAAGGGCAGCGGGCAGCGGGCACACAGAGGGCACCATCCCAGAAGAGGCCAGGCGGGCACACACAGCCACTCACACATTCTTCCCCGCAGGACCCGTCCTCGCCTGGGCCCACGGCAGAGCAGCTGGGTGGGCAGGGTGAGACGCAGTCCGAGTAGAGCTGGCCTCCTGGGCACAGGCGTTCTGTGGGTACAGGAAGGGCCCATGAGACTCTGGGAAGCAGCTGGGCGAGCACTCGGGTGGCAGTGCCCTGGGGAAACGAGGACCTGCCAGGTCCCTGGGTCAGAGCCTTGGGCAGGGCAGGGCGGGCTGCGTTGTACCGCAGAAGCCAGGCGTCCTCCAGTGCAGGTAGATACGCTGTCTGGCACAGGCCTGGGCATAGCTGGCAAAGGTGTCGCACACAGCCGAGCGCCGGCTCTCTCGGTCACCGCCCGCTGTGGCTCTGGCACAGTAGGAGAAGAGGCAGGCCTCGTGGTACTCATCCGGGGAAACCTGCCAAGAAGGAAGCCCGCAGCCAGCAAACGCCTTTGTCACCAGCAGCACCTCCCACCCCTAACTTCCTTCACACCCTGACTTAGAATCAAACAGAACGAGCCAGAGAATGCTTAGAATACACAGAGATGCCACTCTGTTCCCACTTGGTGTCCAAAGACAACACGCAGGACAGGGAGGCGATGGCTTGGCTGATTTCTGCCCAGGCCACCCATGGGCCCCTCTCTCTCTGGAGCGCGTCACTGCCGGCCCCTCCCCCCCCATACCTGTGCATGGCATTGCTGGAATGGAGGCTCCAGCAGTTGGTGGCACACATCCTGGGCTTCCGCCTGCAGTTGGCCAACTTCCATGCCTGCCTCTGTGCCCCCCAGAGGGCCCGCACATCCCTGGGCCACCTCCACTGCATCCGGACACTCAGGCTGGGGACCCATGGAGCCAGAGCAGGAGGTAGTGATAAGGGACATCAGGAAGGTGACGGCGACCCTAGTTGCTTCAAGGCCCCACCATCATGTCCACTAGCTGACATCCTCCAGAGTCACTAAGGCAAGCAATCAGCCAGCTTCAGGGGACAGGGTGGACAGAGTCACAGGCAAGAGCTAGACAACTGGCTAAAGGGCCAAAGCTGGTCAGTGACCTGTGTGTGTGTGTGTGTGTGTGTGTGTGTTTGTGTGTTATTGTTTACAGCAAGTAGCTGGGATGTGGGTGGCATCTGACACCAAGTTTCCTAAGGGACCTGGGGCCTGCTCCCTCTACCCTTGGGGACCTCCCCTGGGGTGGGGGCCCAGGACAGGGGTCTTACCTCAGAGCCAGGAACCCTCCAGGAATTCCCAAAAGTGGCAGCTAGCATGGCCAGGCCCCCACTAGGCTCCCAAAAGTCATCTGAGGAAGGACGAGGCAGGTGCTGGACATGGAGTTCTGTCTCCCCTTCCTCCCAGCGCCAGTCACCGGGCTGCATGCCACCTACCCTCAGGCTGGCCATTGTAGAGCCCACAGAGGCCCTGCGTTTGTCCCCAGAGTTCAGAGTCCACAGAGATGGAGATGGAACTGGTCCTGTCCAGCCGCACAACAACCCCCAGGCCTCCGGACAGCACCAGCCAGTCTCCCTGCCACTGCAGGCTGAGCCCTGGGAAGAAGAAGTCACCCCCAGCCTCCCATAGCCACATTCCCACCCCCACTGCGGGGGTCCCCACTGTCCAGGGGAGGGGAGGGGAGGGGAGGGAGGGGAGGGAGGGAATCCTCACAGCTCATGTGGACACTCCGGTGAGGACAAACTACAAACCACACAGCACCCACACACACATGCGTCCCCATACACACCCCACATATACAACATAAAACTACCATAGATGTCATATATATGCATCAAATGTGCACTATATACACCCATACACACCACACATACATAAACACATACCACCACAAGGATACACACATACCCAGTCCATATACACATAATACACATATCATACACGCACACATGCCACACCATATACACACATCATGTATGTGCCACACAAAGCATATATACATTCCACATACATACCCAATGTCTATACACACCACACACACACCCCATACGCATGCTCCATATACACACCCAATATGTGTACGCAAACACATACACTCATTCTGTCCCAACCACAGTAACTCTGCCCTGGGGCAGGAAGGGAAACTGAGGAGGTTAGGCAGAGGAACTTTTCTGAGTCACCCTTGGAGGGGCGGGGATCGGAAGGCCAGGTCCACATCCTCCTGGATCCTTGGTTCCAAAGCCCTCCTGACAGCAAGAGGGGCAGCAGCTACCCTTCAGACCCAAGGGGGAGAGTAGGTTGTCCCAGAGAAGGGACTAGCCCTCACCATGGAGCAGCCGCGGTTCCCCACTGGGTACGAGCTGCCCGTTCACAGAGACGTTTCCAGCCTGGACCAGCACCTCATCTGAACCCATCATCACCTGGACCTGGAGAGGTGAGCCAAGGATGAGGTGAGACGCTACTGTCTGTGTGTCCAGCCCTCCGAGGATCTCATCGCCCTCCCTCACCAGCTGACAGGACTCAGGCTGGGGGCAGTGGCTCCCAGGCCTGAGGTGCACCGTCCAGGAGGAATCCACAGCGCCCGCCAGCAGGTAGGTGCAGCGGCCCAGGAAGTGGTAATGACGCCCATCAAAAGTGCGGTAGTGGAAACCGGACCAGGTGGCACAGGTGGCCGAGGGATGCTGGTGCTGGCTCCGGAGCTGGCCCACAGCCCCGGCAAGGGGCTGCAGGAGGGCTGCGGCGGAGCTGTTGCCTGGGAGGGAGACCACGCATGAGCCTCCGAGTGCAGGGACGGAGGGCTAGGGGAGAGGGGGAGGAAAGATCGCAGGCCCCTGACAGCCCGTGTGGCACAGGCAGGGCCCTGCGGAAAAGTCAGAGTTGGGAGGGTCAACACGGGCCTGTCCTGTGGCTGAGATCTGCAGACCCACCTGGAAGGCGCGGGCTGGAACAGCGGAGGCAGGCCTGGGAACCCCCGTCCCACCAGCTGCGACCCCAGGAATGGGCGCAGCACTCCCCCAGGCTTCCCGCCGAAGCGTTCCTGGAGTCTGCCAGAGGCTGGCACTGCCGTGTGGCAAAGCAGTGGCTGTCATTCCTGGCTTCAGCAATGGCTGTGGTGGGTGGAGGAGAGAATGGGGCACGTCCAGACGGTGAGCAGGGAGGACAGCTACCTCCCCTTCACCCCACGTGGGCTCCCCTAGACGGGGTGCTTACCCTCAGTGCAGTGGGTGCCTCCCCAGCCTGGGCAGCAAACCCTCACTGTACTGTTCCGTGTGACAGGCCGGGTTTCGGGGGGCCTGCATCCCCCAAGCAAGGAGCAAAGGAGAAGACATAAAGATCCAGCCCCGTCCCATCATGGGGAAAGGTCTGGGACTTTCTGCCTGTTTCTGACCATCTATCACATCACACCCCCTCCTGACCCTCATCTCTCCACCTGCATGGTCAGAATGCTGCTGAAGGCCGCAAACGTTGTACCTCTCCTTGCTCTGCCCACCATGATGCCCTCTCCGCCTCCCACCCCATCCCTCGCTCTCCACCCTTCCCCAAACCACCCAAAACCTACTTCCCTAGAGCCTGCTCATGCCTGGCCCTCCCTGACTCAGGATGTCCAGCCATCACTCCTTTCCTTTCCTGCTCAGCAGACTGAGCCTCACTCACTTGTAGATGGTACAGAGCCCAGCCGCCGGGGGCCTGGTGAGCCCCGATCCACTACTCCAAGGCAGGTCCAGCCTCCAGCCGAGGCGGCTGTAATAGTAGAGGCTGGTACAGGGCACCACATCCTCCTGACGAGGGGCTACTTCCTCTTCCACGTGGACGGTCTCTATCCGTTCACACCACCGCCTGTCCATGGATAGGAAACCACAGCTGCTGCCCCTGTCCCCTCGGTCACCAGGAAGCCAGGTCCTATGATGCTAGGCCCTTAAAAGCTAACTCCCAGAGGAGATCCCTCAAGCAAGGAGAACAGGAGAGAAACTGAGGGGAGGGGAGTCTGATACCCCAGAGGGTCCCTGGACATGGGTTTCAAAGGAGGGCCGTAGCCAAGAGGTCTTGGGTTGCTTACCCATCAGCCAATGCCCATAGCATCCCAAAAAGGGCGGGGAGCAGCATGGTGCCCACGCCTTGGGCTTGGGCAGTGTTCTGGACACCTTCACCCACCCACCCACACTGCTGCCTACTATGGCCTTCCACTGGAGAGGCTTTATTCCAGTCGTCTGCCTCCGGGTACCAGCTGCACATAACTGGATTGGACCAGACTGCACTTTCCCCTCTGCGGTCCATTCTCCCTGGAAACAGGCTCCTTCCTGCCCCTCCTGGTGCATGTCAACCGGGACCACACAGCAGAGGCGCAGGGCCTGGGCTACTCCATGCTCTCACACACAACCACAAATTAACAGGAATCTTGGGGCAAGCCACTCTCCCTTTCTGAGCTTCTGTTTCTTTACCAGTGAAAACTTCAGGGACTTCCCACCGAATGTGCTGTTGGGACTTGGGGACTCGGTGAGTTCTTCGGCATGACATGTGTACACGGTTTTGTTACTTCAGTTCTGGGGGGGTCATGGTCCCCTGAGACTGTCGGGGTCTTGCAGCCCCTAAAAAGCTTACAAGGATGTTCTCCCTATCCTTTTTCTGCCTTCTGATCCCTTTCAGGCCAGGCACCCGGGCAGTGAGGCCCCGCAAGGCCCCACGAGGTCGCTGGAGTGCCTCTGAGTGGGTAGACAAGCGGGAGTGTTCCATTTTCTTTTTGGCATCTGACTTCTGATGGCGATTGTGTGTATCTGGATGGGGTCACATGGTGTCCTGCAAAGTTCTCTTGGGCTCCCAAGGTGCTTGAGGACTGAGAGGAACCAGGAAGGCGTGGCTGGGTGGGGAGTGGGAGAAAGGCTGGGAGCCCACTGCCCCCCAGCTCCTGGGCAGAGCTGAGCCGGATGCAATAATCCGTGTCCGGTTGAGAGGGGGCAGCTACAGGCTCCGCGCTCCACCAGGGGATCCTGGTGACACCCTGGTTACCAGCAGAGCTCCAAGGACACCATGAGTGGAATGTAGCACTGCTCAACCCCTAAGCGCCGGGTCCCACTGGGCATCCTGCATGGGCATCCACCTGGGTCAAGCCAGAGCCCAACCAGGCATTCCTTCTCCTGAGCCTACTGATGGGCATGGACTAAGAGAACCCGGCGTGAGTCCTGAAGGCTGGAGCTAGCCATCAGACTAAGAATTCTGGCAAAGAACCTGCATCTGGAGTGGGTACATGGCCCTTCCAGTGTCTCTCAAACCCACACATGTACATGACCCTTCCGGTCCTAGGCTAGCCCCCCCCCCCATGCCAAGTCCTAGGGCCACCTGCGATGCAGCCCAGCTTGCTCAGCCCCAGGGCTCTCCCTCACCCTGCCGAGGCCCTCGTTCTAACTATCCACGAGTGTACAGGGAAGTGGCCCTCTCCAAGGCCAGCCTTGGGTCACCCCGTCCTAATTCCACAGGCAGTCACCATCTGGCTCTGTGGAGACTCACTCCCAGCTCCGAGTTCCAATGCGGCTGAGAGGAAGCACACACGTTTCCCTACGGGGCCAGAACCCAGGGGAGTTCGCAGAGATGACCCCGCATCGCGGGGGGCGGTGGCGGGGCCAGGCCGAGGAGAGGCTGCAGGGGGCAGGCCTTGGGGGGATCTGGTCCCAAGGCTGAGGCGCAGCTCCCCACCTGGGGGAGAGGTCCTCGGGCCTGCAGGTCCCCCCTCCCCGCCGCGCCAGGAGCCGCCCCTCTCCCCGCCCCTGGCCTCCCCAGCCCAGCCCAGCCCGGCCCGCCTCACCCTTCGCAGCCGAGCCCCGACTCCCGGGGCCCAGGCTCCCAAAGTCTCCTCCTACTTTCTACTTGGAGGGGCCCAGCGTCCTTCCGTCCCTGCCCAAGCCTCCGACGGAGTGCTCCGCGGCCCCGGGCCGGAGGGGGTGACGCTGGGTGGACCCGGATGGGATCCGGGTGGAGAGCGGCGGAGCCCGGCCGAGTTTCCTGATCTCCACCCCGTCCCACCCCCACCCCACCCCGTGCGCCCGAGCGAGCGGCCGCCGCCGGACCTCGGCGCTGCACCCGCGCCTCCGAGAC